TTTCTGTTTCTGTGGAAGATTTTATTAGAATTTCATTTAATTTCTGTTCAATTTCTTCTTCTAAATGAAGTTGATTTATTTTTCTTTTTATCCGGCAATATTTAGATATGTATCCTGTTTTTCCACATTTAAAGCATTTTATTGTTTTGTCTATATGTTTTAGTTCTCTATTTTTTCTTTTTAATTTTTTGTATTTCTTGTATTTTGGTGTTTTATAATATTCTTGATAATTTTTCTTATGTTTTCTTTGTTTTACAGGTTTGGACGGACAATAATTTTTTGAAGAAGATTCTTGTTTGATATTGAACTGTTGGCAGAAAGATCTTAATTCTTTTGCACAGAGTTTTTTTTCTCATTTTAATTGTCTTTGTAGTTTTAGATCTTGGCATATTTTCAATCCTTCTTTTTGAGTGAAACTTATTAATTCACCATATGTTAAATTTTCATAAGGAATTATTCCTTTGTAGATTTCTCTAATTTGATTTCTAACTTTTTCTCCTAATAATGTTGGGAGGCCAGCTAAAAATTTCTCTTTCCAGAAAGGTTGGTTGTTGTCTGTTCTTTGCATTATCCTTATCATGAACATGTCTTTGTACCATTTAAAATCTGTTAATTTTTTACATTTTAAATTTGACAATAATTCTGAGTTTTTATCCCTAAGATGTGAAGGATCTCCTATGAAATGTTTCGATATTGAAAAGATTAATGTTGCTACAGCATTTTGAATTTGTTGTCCTTGACTGTCTGTTATTATATTTCCATCGGTATCTTGTTTGACAGCTTTTAAAATTTCTTCTTGTTGATTTGTGGAGAGATAATTATCCCACCATCCTTTAAGTTGTCTTGTAAAACTAGCAACTAACATGTATGCTATTGCATGGTCTGTAATTTGACCAGTTTGGTTTTGGGTTTTGTATACATTGGAAACCATTGACATTTGTTGGAGTATATTGAGAATGTTATATTTTGACATTCCATCTATATTCCATTCATATATTGTGTTTGCATTGTATTTGTTTTGAAAAGAGAATTTCTCTTCTATATTTATATCCAGGGCTGTCATTTTAGGGTAATATATTTTTTGAGGTTCTTTCCAAATCATTTTATTTATCTGTTGGCTTTGTAAGCTTTCGGTTGATGAATCAGTTTCTTCTTTTATGGTATTAATGTGTGAATTTGGATGTCTTTGGGGGGTATCTTCTACTCTGATTTCTGAATATTGACTTTCTAAGGTTTCAAGTCTATTTTCGATTTCATGTAAAAATTGATTTTTTGTTTGTTGATAATTATTGGGGATTTCAAAAGGTATAATTATTGGCCGGGTTTTGAAGTTTTGTTTCAATTGTATCTAATTGTTCTGATATGGAATGTAAATTTAAGTTTGTAAAGTTATTTTGTTCTATTATCATTTTTATGTCTTTTGAGGTGATAGGTTCTCCTAAGTCAGATAATCTCATTCTTAATGGGGTTGCCCATATCCCTATGTTTTTATGGGAATATTGTATTTCTGTTAATGGGGGATGATTTGATTCGATTTCTCCTTTATTCATTTGCCATTTTTTTGTAATGTTTAAAGTATTTAGTTGTGGTTCTTCATATTCTTCGAACCATTCAAAGAAGTCTATTAGTATTTTATGTTTTCTCATGAATTTGTAATAGTTTTGTAGTATTTCATCTTTCTGTGAGTCGTAAGTTTTGAAATAATTTTTTCTTTTTTGTTTATTTTTTTCTGAAGTAAACTGTTTTCTACACCAATCTTTGTTGATTTTAAAGTCTTTTTCTAAGAAAAATATTTCTGAATCATTTTCTTGGTTTTGACTTATATTGGGATTATTCGTCATTGATGAATATGTTGGAGACATATTTGGACTATTTGAAGGGGTAATTTTTTGTCGGTTATAAACAGGTTGGGATATGTTTGGAGAATTATTTACAGATTGTAAGTTTGTTCTAATTGTAGGGAGTGAGGATACAGAAGCTCTGGCTATCCTGAAGTCTGTTCCTATACTTGAAGGTGATTCTACATTTGATATTTCAAAAGATCTTCTGGAAGGAAGTCTTGGTGGTCTGTTAAAGACAAGTTCTACTGAACCATCTCTAAATTGTGCCACATTATTTATTTCCGTGTTTTGTATGGGGGCTAGATTTGTTGCTCTTTTTATTTTCCATCTATTTGGAAGTTGTACTTGATGCCATTGTATTGTCCTAGGTATGACCGTATGTGACCTAGTCATATCTGTTTGGATTAATAATGTTTCTCCCTTTGGACTGTGGATTAAAGCTTGAGTGTTTATTACAGAATACATTGCTTTGTAATATAATCTGTAAACAACAATTAAAGGTTCAGATCCAGGCATCATTTTGTAATTATGAGTTTGTATTTGGAGTGTTAAAGAATTTAATATATTTTTGTCTTTTAAGGAAACCATGAAGTTTGGAAAGCAGTTGAAATGTATTAGTCTTCTATATAGACTTGTTTCTATTGGTCCTCTATATAGACTTGTTTCTATTGGTCCTAACAAGGAATCATTAAATTGGAGGTGTCTCTTATCTCTCAGAACGATTAATATTGAGATGTCTAACTCTTCTTTTGTAAAGGGTTTTGCTCCTACTTGAATTAATCCGATATGGATGTAATTATAATTTTGAGTTTTTAATTTATTTATAGTTTCTTGATCTAACAATGGGATGTTTTCATACTGATTTTGTATAGGGATTCCGTTTTCTTTAGTTTTTATAAGGTATTTGCAAAAAGAATTTAGATGTAAAGAATGGAATGTTGATGTTTTGTAAATTTGGCTTTATGAAACTCTAAGTATTTTCCAGTTGTCTATTTCTTGAATTATATTTTCATAATGAACATTTTCTTCATTGATTTCTGGGTTTTGAATACTAGAACCAGAACTAGAATAGGAGGTGTTTCTCAGGAATGGAAACATTTTTAACTTCAGATTTTCTTCTCTTACATGGGGGGTTTCTATGAGTAAGATGAACTGTGATAATACTGCCTACAGGGAGAAATGTATCCTAACAACGCCAACTCTAGGCTTCTAATGGATTGTTTCTCAAGGACTCAGTAGGAATCAACACAATATGCATGCAAACTCTTTAAAACCAGAACTCAGACAAGAAAATAGAAATCAAAAAGTTTCAGACCAGATAAATACCTCTTGAACCGGAAATGGCTTTGATACCAAATTCACCAGGAATCGACTCCGGGAATGCTCAAATATGAAAATATAACTCTTTTGAATTTAAAATTGCTTTTAGAAATACAAATTGGAAATTTGATTTTTGAATTTGATTTATAGAAAACTATTTATTTTGGATACAAAAGTTTTCCAGAGAAGAAATATGATCTTCTTGAAATATTTATATATGTTTATATAAAATAGATATATATATTTAATACACTATTAGTGCAACCAAATATTCTAGCAAACATCTCCAAGGCTATGGGTATATCAATCAACCTTAAGGAGTCTCCACAAATAGTGTATATATCTGGGCTTACCCTCAAACCATACAAGTTATTCTCCACTGGCACACCACAGTTACCAAAGTATCATATCAAATTCAAATCAAATTTATTTAAGCCTGTTTAAAGTTATGTCATAACACTCACAATTTAAATGAAAATCATAGAGTGGTCCTCCCTTAGACATCATCAAATCACACACGGTGACCAGATGACAGAGTCAAATCATACGCAGGGCTAAGCCATTGACAGAAAGTCAAATCATGCCCGTATTGAAGTAATGGTCGGAGAATTAGAGTTATCATCCAGAGTAATTTCTCAATAGATGGCATCACTCGGAGTAGTCTCAAATGGGTGGCATCATAAACATAGTGTTCATCTGGCCTAATATCAATGGATGACATCAAAGCATTGTAGGCAAGACTAAAAACACTGTCCCTACATACCACCATCCCTACAAGCACAAATAGTCTCAAGACATAAGACCCCACTTAACCTTAACTCAAATCAATATCCAAAATTCTCAACATTGGATGGAACACAAATCCACAATGAGACCATCATGCGTTAGATATCTCATATACCAAAATCTATACCAAGGATCATCTTTATGGGTTTTAAGCGTCTCTAGCTTAATATCTCATTTAAGAGCCCTTAACTCTTCAAGGCATCAAATATGACCCTCTGTGGGGTTCAACGTTTTGAGTGAACTACTCCTAGAAGTCCATCATATCCACTAGACCTCTTTGTATAGGCTCAAACGATATAGGCCACTATGTGGCTTGCACTAAGACACACAATACACAATACACAACACACATATTCCAATATATATTTGTTCTCTAGCTTAGGCATGTTCATCTAGGCAATTATATACATACAGTTTCTATTCTAGTACCATGGTAGCTAATAACTTTATTATATAGAGTTATCTTATGCATCTTTGAAACCTAAATTAAGCTAAGTCCTCTAGTTTGAAGTAATCCATAAGTAATTTTATCTTAATAGTAATAATTTAATTTATGTCATGACATTTATCATTTATGCAATTTCAATGAATTTTCTGTTAAAATCCTTCATTTCAGACTCTAATTAATTGATTTTCTGATATTGAAGAATGTGCAAGGAGTTGGAACTCAAATGGCAACCGATGGTGCAAGTAACTTAAGAATAGCCTTTGAATATGCTATAATATTATGAGCATAACTCAAGTTACAGAAATCCAATCGACACAATTATTAAACCTACTAAAAGCTAAGAGGAAGAGCTACAACCTTTATGTTTAGCATTTCACCAAATACAAAAGGGATCATGGTCAAAAATATGGAAGAATTCGACTGACTGCAATTAATGTCACTATAAAAATTTTAACGAAAATTTTCGTTGAAAAATCCGTCGATAATACTTTCGATTAAAAATCCGTCGAAAATTTCCAACTGAAAATTTCGTTGGAAAATTCTGTTGAAAACTATGTAAACTGCTGAATTTCAGTCATAAAATTCCGTTGGAAATTCTTTTCCAACGAAATTTCGTTGCAAATTTTCAATGAAAAATTCCGTTGAAAATTCAGTTCCATGCTTTGCCAACGAAATTTTTTGTTGGCCATGCTTTGCCAACGAAATTTTTTGTTGGCCATTCTTTGCCAACGAAATTTTTCGTTGGAAATTTCCAACAAAATTTTCTGTTGGAATTGACTTTCCAACGAAATTTTCTATTCGACATTTCAAACGGAATTTTCCGTTGAAAATTCTTTTTCAATGGAATTTCCCATGAAAAATGGTGCACCAAAAAATTCCGTTGGAAAAGAATTTCCAACGGAGAATTCCATTTAACTTTCCAACGAAAAATTCTGTTTCCAACGGATATTCTATTAGTAATACTTATTTTATTGGTGATTCTTATCCAACAAAATTCAACAATTAGAATTGCATTAATAAATGTCCAATTGACTTCCACAATTAGCTTTCAAAATATATAATAGAAGTACAATAAAACTTAAAATGCAAAGTCAAGTTCATACAATTAAAAATTATCATAAACATATAATATCTCAAAATGTAAAACACATAACCTGATATAAACTCCATACTGTTATTAAACACCAAGACTAAAAAGTCTCCAAGTCTATAAATGGAAAAGAGACATCATATCATGAGATGTTGCGTTCTTACTTGTCAATATTTGAGCTTGAAGTTCTCGCATTTTCTTGTTTCGAAAGCGCATTAGTCACGATCATTGCTTCCATACGTGCCATAAATTCAGTCATGCTTTTCGCCATTGCATTCTTAATTTCTTGTATTTCCTCACGAATCTTTTCTAAGTTGTCTGATAAATTTTTCACTTTTTCTTCTAATGCAATTGGGGGACTGTTACCGTTAGAGTTGATAAAGCCACACGCAGACTCAGATGTTGCTGCATTGCTTTGTGTTCCACTAAGTAAAGCTTTAATAGGCACCCGAGTACCAACCCATATGCGTGAGTGCGTGTAGTCTCCATCCTTCCAATTGCTTCAGTCCAAGCATGTGGATCAAATTCTGGTTTAGCAAATGAATCCTCTTCATACTTCTGTGATAATATAGAATTATACATTTCCTACATAAAAAATAAATAAGATTAGTATTCAATTATATTCACAACTTGAAGTAAAAATTAATCACACTTGTACATACACTCGCAGATTTAGACTTGTTATCTATAAAATCACCGTGACCCGCTAAACGCTTATGGGTGCGATTGAACACTTCCAAAAAGCTAACATCTCTTTTCATCTCAATTGCCTGCA